AGAATTACAGTTAAGAGAGAAGGAGAACATTCAGGCTAGAAGCCACTGCAAGGGGTTTCCTCTTCTGGAACCTCAATAGATCAGGTGGGGAGGAGTGTGAAATTGGAGTCTTCATGAGCAAGGTTATCAATATTCTTGGAGACTGGAGAAGTAGCTTTATAAAGCATCTCTGCTTTAGCCATTTTATCAGTTGATGTCACTGCATCCTTGTTTGTGAGAACAATTATAGTAAGGCTAGATAGCTGTGGGTTTTTTCTTTTCTTTTTCTTGTTTCTTTCTATGAGTGAAATATGTAGAGTAATTTAATGGATTGCAATTACAAAGCCAGAGAACATCCACAGATATCATACTGAAGTCACCACGAAAGAAGAATATTAAAATACTGCAAGGAGTAGCACGGGTCATTTTAGCTTTCCACTCTGATAAGTGAGGGAGTTAGAGAAGAGAATCAAAGCCTGCATAGGATTCGAGCAGCAGATTCTTCAAGACCGTACCGCATGTCCTTTAAACGAGAAAGGTTTTTTGATTTTTCCCAGTGATCAACAGATCCTCACACCCTTTCTACCAGCCCCTGAGTGTCTCTAATTTACGTCCTCAAATACACCATTTCTAGGCATGTTCTACTCATGGAAGCATAAAATATCTGTGCTTTTATATCAGGTTATCCATTTAGCATTTCTTCAAGATCCATCCATGTTGTAAATACATTTTTTTTTGTACTGTGATTTCAAACTCTAAATGAACAATTCTTCATTTTTCTTTTAGCGACATTGTTGGAGTCATGCCAGCCTTTCTTTCTCATGCATTTTGTTCCCTCAAAGGTGTTTTCTGGTCACTCTAGGCTTCAGCTTAGCAGACATGTCTTCAAGGAGGCTTCACTCAAACCAACAAATCGGGTCAAGTCTAACTGCTACTTTCTCGCACTGTATAATTCTCAGCTGCACTTCTTGCTTATGTGATTCCTTCTTTCCAGAGCTGGCTGTCAAAGGCTAGGAATTGCATTCACTCTTGTATATTGTAAAATATTTGGAATAAAGTATTGCTTGGTTTCGCTGGTTCTTCAAATCATTCTTATCATCCATGCCGTAAGAGAACCGTTTATCTAAAACAATGAGCTCGATCCAAAAACCGAGGTTTAATTCCCAGCTTTGGTGTCAAATGACTGCAACCTTAAGACATAGTTTAAATAATCAAGGGTTCTACTCCTGTAAGCAGAGACCACAGTAGGTGGGTAGCAAGGTTCCTTTAAGATAACAGTTTACATCTGTGCATATCATTGTAACAGAAAAGTTTAATGTATATTGGTATCTCTGGCATTGTACATGTGATAATCCTTAACATTATTTGAAATAACCATTTCTGTTTAAGTCAAATTAAGGGCAGTCATTTATATAAATAAGACCAATGACGAAGGTAAGGTGTGTATTTCACTAAGCTACTCATTGGTCACTTCTCTTATACTTTCTGTCTCAATAGTCTTATTCCACATAAGATGATGCATGATTGGAAAGAACTGTTTTTTAGTGGAAATCCCATATATGAACAGACTTCTCTTACACATGGACAAACAGAATCCACTGATGAACGTATAGAATTGAAGAAAAGGAGCTTACTCGACAACAACGATTATGAAGACTATAAGGTACATACTAATATGTAATAATTTGAGTGAACGGATCATAATAAATTCTTTTTCTTAATGCTAATTTGTGGCATTTTATTTAATTCCTATTAATGAAAATAGACGTTTTACATCTACACGTTCTTCTGTGTTAACTCAAACATATGACTAACTTTTACGTGCTTAGAGTATTCATCATTATCTGTTGCTCATGGTAAGATTAGAACAATCCAAAAGTAATTAAGTGTGCTACACTGAGCAAGCAGGTGTCAGAAGAATGCCTCACTAGAATTTTTCTTGCATGAGCTACCATTTGTTTAAAAATCAATTGTTAAAAGATCATTTTCAAAGTAACTTATCTCAATAGTATATTGTTTTATAGGCAAAATGGAAAGGAAAGTGGTTTTAGTTTAGCATGGCATAAATTCATACAATATTTTATTCAAATAATAAGAGTATTGGATGCAAAATGCGTATTCTGTATACTTTTTCAGTTTAATGTTATTTTACATTTAAATTATACATGTTTATGAAATCAGTATGACAATTTGATATAAGTATACAATACATGTAGTTTATAACAATTTATGATATATTTCTATTAAGAATTCAGAGGTGCTCAGAACAAAGAAATCATTAATGTTTTAAGGAAATGGAAATGCCACCTGCCTATTAGAAAGCTGTCCAGAAACTTTTGGGATTAGACAGTGGACATTATTCACTACTAACTGTAGACCTCTGGTCTCTAATCCCTAAGTACTGGAGACATTTGGTACCTCAATTTATGAAGCAATGATGATGGTGATGATAAACTTATCTTATTTTGTCTTTATTAAGCTGATTTGAGATAGCACATGTTAAACATGCAGTCCAATGGACTGTGCACTAGATTTAAATAACACATACTAATTTTACTACCCCACCCCCAACTCTTCCCGGCGCACTTCACTTCACCCTTAGAACTGAAGATGTAAAAACAGTGCTCTTGAATGTAGATTCTGGGTAAGATGTACAGCCGTGGAATGAGGAATGGGAACACGTATGGTTACAAGTATAGCTGGCCTCTAGGTTAGCCAATACAAGATGGAAACAGGAATGTATGAAAGGGGATTGGTGCATCACTGACAGACACTGAAAAGATGGCAGATATTTATTATGAAGATGGATGCATAAAATGAGTTCGTGGCAATGTCCAGGGAAGTGGACAAAATGCACTGATGTATAGATATTAAAGCAAGTTAAGACTGAAGTAAAAAAATTAAGAAAACAATATACAATCATGGAGAACCAAATGCACATCTTATTCTAACTGAATGCCAGTGTATTTATATCCTCAATAAAATTATTTGTTTTAGAACTGACTAAAAACTTAAGAACTACATAGAGATTCTATTTACTGTGGCTGTGTAATACTACTTATACCTCTAGCATGTAGATAGATAGATAGATAGATAGATAGATAGATAGATAGATAGATGGATGGAGGGAGGGAGAGGGAGAGGGAGAGGGATGGGGAGAGAGAGAGAGAGAGAGAGGTCCCTTGAGAAAAGATGTTTCGATAAATAGCAAAATATGTTATTTCTTTCCATCATCAATTATGAAATTACTGCTTTTCGATTAAAGCCAAACCATCTGACAGCTTTAGCTGATTCATAATAACTATTTGTCCCTCGGTTGTTCCTCGAAACAGGTTAGTCTATACAGTTCTTTTTCTCATAAATAAGGAGATGAGGTAGGCCACAACTGAGCAAAGCTCTGTGTTTCTAACTATATATCTTGTTTGGGAAATGATTACCACAGGAACACGCTTGTCTTACCCACATCCTGGGGCCCATGGCATACTTCTTTGGCAGGAAATTGTCGGCTTTTGTTAGGAGTTTGTAACTGTCTGTCAGCCCAGTGCGCTTCTTTTTCTGTAGCATCTTTACTGGTTTCGTTGTGTTTTGTTGTTTTGCTTTGCTTTTGTTGTTGTTATTGTTTGGTTTTGGGTTTTTTTAGAAATAAAAATTCCTTGTATATGTGCTTTGTTCTTTTTTATTATTTAATTTATTTACATTTCAAATGCTGTTCCCCTTCCCAGTCTCCCCTTTGCAAACCCCCTATGTCACACCCTTTGCTCCCCCATCCACCCACCCACTCCTGCCTCACCCCTCTAGCATCCCCCTTCATAGAGGCAACAAGCCTCCACAAGACTAAGCACCTCCCCTCCCATTGATGTCAGATAAGGCAGTCTTCCGCTACATATGTAGAGGGAGCCATGGACCCACCCATGTATACTCGTTGGTTGGTGGTTTAGTCCCTGGGAGCTCTGAAGGGTCTGGATACTTGATACTGTTGTTTTCCCTATGGGGTTTCAATCTCCTTCAGGTTCTGCAGTACTTCACTTAACTCATCCATTGGTGTCCCCATATTGAGTCCAATGGTTGACTGTGAATAGATATTCATCTGTCTTCCTCGGGTACTGGCAGAGCTCTCAGAGGACATCTATATCAGGTTCCTGTCTGCCAGCACTTCTTGGCATCAGCAATATTGTTAAGGTTTGGTGTCTGTGGATAGGATAGATCCCCAGGTTGAACGGTCTCTGAATAGCCTTTCCTTCAGTCTCTGCTCCATTTTTTGTCCAATTCTGGATTAAAGATTTTGAAATGGTTAGATGGCCCCATCCCTCAACTGGGGGCCATGTCTATCTACTAGAGGTAGTTTCTTAAGATTCTATCTCCTCGGCTGCTGGATATTTCAGCTAATGTTAACACCATTGTGTCCTGGGAGCCTCTCACATCCCTGGCATCTGGGATTTTCTAGTGGCCCCTCATCCTCGCTAGGTATTTCTACTCATTCTCCTGGCCCGCTGGAGCTTTCTCCTGTTTTTTTCCCATACCTGATCTTGCTTCCTTTCCCCCACTACCCTCCCCCAGCCAGGTCTCTCCTTCCCTCCTGGGATTATTTTGTTCCTCCTTCTAAGTGGGATTGAGGCATCCACACTTTGGACTTCCTTCTTGTTAAGTTTCATATGATATAGTGGGTATTCTGAGCTCTTGGACTAATATCCACTTATCAGTGAGTACATACCATATATGTCCTTTTGGGTCTTGGTTACCTCACTCAGGATGATAGTTTCTAGTTCCATTCATTTGTCTTTCAAATTAATGAAGTCTTCCTTTTTAATAACTAAGTAGCATTCTATTATGTAAATGTACCACACTATCTCCCTCAGGGACATCTGGGTTGTTTCCAGCTTCTGGATATTATTAATAAGGCTGCTATGAATATAGGGAGTATGTGTTTTTGTTATATGTTGGAACATCTTTTGGGTATATGCCCAGGAGTAGTATAGCTGGATCTTCAAATATTTCCAATTATTGAAGGAACTGCCAGATTGATTTCCAAAGTGGTTGTACCAGCTTGCAATTCCACCAACAATAGAGGACTGTTCCTCTTTCTCCACATCCTTGCCAGCATCTGCTGTTGCCTGAGTTTTTGATCTTAGCCATTCTGATTGGTGTAAGGTGGAATCTCATGTTCATTCTGATTTGAATTTCTCTGATGACTAGAGATGTTGAACATTTCTTTAGGTGCTCCTCAGCCATTCAAGATTTCTCAGTTGAGAATTCTCTGCTTAGTTCTGTACCACATTTTTAATTGTGTTATTTGGTTTTCTAGGTTCTAACATCTTGAGATATTTGTATATTTTGTATATTAGCCCTGTATCAGATGTAGGGTTGGTAAAGATCTTTTCACAGTCTGTAAGTTGCTGTTATGTCTTATTGACAGTGCCCTTTGCCTTACAGAAGCTTTTCAGTTTCATGAGGTCCCATTTGGCTATAGTTGGTCTTAGAGTCTGAGCTATTGGTGTTCTATTCAGGAAATTTTCCCTTGTACCAATGTGTTTGAGACTCTTTCCCACTCTCTCTTCTATTAGACTCAGTATATCAGGTTTTATGTGGAGGTCCTTGATCCATTTGGACTTGACCTTTTTACAAGGAGATAAAAATGGATCAATTTGCATTCTTCTACATGCAGACCTCTAGTTAGACCAGCATCATTTATTGAAAATGCTTTCTTTTTACCGCTGTATGGTTTTGGCTTCTTTGTCAAAGATTAAGTGATCATGAGTGTGTGGGTTTATTTCTAGGTCTTCAACTCCATTCCATCAATCTACTTTTCTGTCTCTGTACTAATACCATACATATTTTATTGTTATTGCTTTGTAGTACAGCTTGAGGTCAGGGATGGTAATTCCCCCAGAGATCCCATACTAGCAACTTAACAGCACACCTGAAAGCTCTAGTACAAAAAGAAGCAAACACACCCAAACAGAGTAAAGGGCAGAAAATAGTCATACTCAGAGCTGAAACCAACCAATTAGAAATAAAGGGAAAGATACAAAGAATCAACAAAACCAAAAGCTGCTTCTTTGACAAAATCAACAAGATAGATAAAACCTTAGCCAAACTAACTAAAGGGCCCAGAGAGAGTATCCAAATTAAGAAAATAAGAAATGAAAAGGGAGATATAAAAACAGAAACTGAGGAAATTCAAAAAAATCATCAGATCCTACTACAAAAGTCTATACTTAACAAAACTGGAAAATTTATATGAAATGAGTGATTTTCTAGAAAGATTCTATGTACCAAAGTTAAATCAGGACCAGATACACTATCTAAACAGTCCATAACCCCTAAGCAAATAGAAGCAGTCATTAAAAGTCTCCCAACCACAAAAGCCAGGGCCAGATGGATTTAGTGCAGAATTCTATCATACCTTCCAAGAAATACCAATACTTCTTAAACTACTCCTCAAAATAGAAACAGAAAGAATACTACCTACTTCATTCTATGAAGCTGCAATTACACTGATACTTAAACTACACAAAGATCCAACAAAGAAAGAGAACCTCAGACCTTATGAATATCAATGCTGAAAAAGCCTTTGACAACATACAACACCACTTCATGTTAAAAGTCTTGGAAAGATCAGGAATTCATACCTAAACATAATAAAAGCAATATATAGCAAACCAA